CTCCCTCAGTGTTTAAGCTCAGTTATTATGAAGAGTGATTCATTTTGGTGGCACAGACATTCCTGTAGCCCCATAGGTGAGGGAGAGTTTGGATCCAGTTCAGGGCACCACACAAACATCGCTGCATTCAGTGCTTGGCATCCCTGGGGCAATTCCAAGGCAGCTTATTTACTGTGCTAATTCCACTCACTTTTTTCCCTGTGCTAATTATCACTTGGGTGAGGCAGAGATGTCCCAATGTTCTTTGTTCTTCCACTGGATACTCAGCTGAGCTCAAGACTGGCAGTGACTCTGGAGTTTGACCAGCGGCTCCCAGCGAGCTGCTCCGTGTCCCACAAAAAGCCTTTTCCGAGTGCTCCGAGGTGCTTTAGCATGATCTGTTCTAATTTTCCAGGTGAGAAGCCGCACAGGTGCCATCTGTGTCCCTTTGCCTCGGCCTATGAGCGTCACCTGGAGGCCCACATGCGATCCCACACCGGGGAGAAGCCCTACAAGTGTGAACTGTGCTCCTTCCGCTGCAGCGACAGGAGCAACTTGTCCCATCACCGGCGGCGCAAACACAAGATGGTGCCCATCAAGGGCACGAGGTCTTCCCTGAGCAGCAAGAAGATGTGGGGGGTTTTGCAGAAGAAGACCAGCAATTTGGGGTACAGCAGAAGAGCATTAATTAATTTGAGCCCACCTTCCATGGTGGTGCAGAAACCAGACTACCTTAATGACTTCACCCACGAAATCCCAAATATCCAGACTGAAGCGTACGAGGGCATGGCAAAAACGGCTCAGAGCGGAGGGTTGCCAAGAGATCCACAAGACCTCATGGTGGATAATCCTTTAAACCAGCTCTCCACGTTGGCTGGACAGTTGTCCAGCTTGCCACCTGAAAACCAAAATCCAGCCTCTCCTGACGTCGTTTCCTGTCAGGATGAAAAGCCTTTCATGATCCAGCAGCCTGCTGCACCTGCAGTAGTTTCAGCTGTGTCAGCAAATATTCCTCAAAACTCATCTCCAACCAGCCCAGATCCTCGGCCTCCACAAAATCAAAGGAACTATAGTCCTGTGGCCGGGCCCAGCAGCGATCGCAGCGCCCACACCAGTACTCCCAGTATAAGTAACAGCCAGCCAAGTACTCCAGCTCCAACCCTCCCAGTCCAGGACCCTCAGCTTCTGCATCACTGCCCACACTGTGACATGTACTTTGCAGACAATATCCTTTATACAATTCACATGGGATGTCATGGATTTGAAAATCCTTTCCAGTGCAACATCTGTGGGTGTAAGTGTAAAAACAAGTACGACTTCGCTTGCCACTTTGCAAGAGGCCAACATAATCAACATTGACTGAGACATGCTTTGGTTTAGTTTTTTAACATATTACAGTCTATTTTTCATACTTGCTGATGGAAAGCTTGCACATTCCCATACAGAATATTCACACTAGTCAATTCGACAAAGGAGGCACATTTATTTCTGTGTTGTTGTAAAACTTGCCAGGGGAATTTCGTGTAGGATTTGGTTGTTATTTTACATGTAGCCTTTCAAAAAAAGCCAAGAGTGCTGTCAGGATTGGAATGCATTTACATGCTGTGGTTGCTAAATTTAAGTTGCTTGCACTTAATCCCAATAAACATTCTGCAAATGGAGAAGCAGAGCGTGTGTCCTGAACCATAGGATGTCACTACCAGAGTATTTACTAGGCTGGACAAGCCACATTATCCATAAAATGTGAAAGGTTAATGCAGTGACATATCAAGTAGTGACAGGACAAGGACTGCCAGAGGACAGGGTTAGACTGGATATTGGGAAGAAATTCTTCCCTGTGAGGGTGGGGAGGCCCTGGCACAGGTTGCCCAGAGAATCTGTGGCTGCCCCATCCCTGGAAGTGTCCAAGGCCAGGTTGGAGGGGCTTGGAGCAACCTGGGATAGTGGAAAGTGTCCCTGCCCATGGCAGGGGGGTTGGAATTAAATAATCTTTAAGGTCCCTCACAACCCAAACCATTCTGTGATTCTATATGGCTACTATGGAGACATACTTATCCTTAAAAACTTGACAACTCTAAACCTGAAAAGCAAACAGAAGCAACTTCCACATACAAATTCAATTTGATGTAAAAGTTGCTTTAATCCAATGGTTTATAATAAGTTTCTGTTTAGTAGCCTACACTCTTCATTCTAGGGCTCAAACACTAATTTAACTATTTTAAAAACTCATCACAAAACTAGAAGGTAACGGGTTATCGTGAATAAAACTCTGGTAGAAAAAAAAAGAGTTAAAAGCTTGTCATTCATGAGTTATACAAACAAAAAATTAAACAGTATACCTTATTTTAAGCTACACTTAGCAAAATTTACATCTTTTCCAGAGGAGGTAATTTTTAAACAGACTTAATAAAGAGCTTGTAGAACTAATATATATTCTGTGAGACTTCTAACTGCCTTAAACTAATTTGTACAGATATTTAAAATTTGCACAATTAGACTTCTGTCTTGCTGATAGGAGTGCTAATAGGAACAAACAAGAGGTTTACAAATTAAAACTCCTTTGTTCAGTTTTATGTTGGGCCAGGCTACAACTGAGACATTGCCTGTATGTTTGAGGGTTATATGATCTAGTTTATTTTAAATTCAGCTGACTTGGAGGTCTCTTTTATCCTCTCTCCCAGATTTAATGTCTTTTGGGTGTGCTGGAAATAAGGGGAAGGGCCTCTGGCTTTTCTGAGCTGTCCATGTAGGAGGCAAAGGAGCTACACTGGGTTTAGGAATTTTAGGTAGCAAATGGTAACTGAAAATGACTATTTTGTTTCATACTCTACATCTTATTTTAGAAGCCCCCAGGGTAACAGACAGGCACTTTAAACCTAAATAAAACATCTGAGCAAAATTAATAATAACCCTTAATATGCTAGATAGGAATTTTAGGCATTAAAAAAAGGAGAACTGTTACTTTTCCCATATTTAGACGTGCACTTTTACCTTGGTTTGTCTTACTTGAGAAAAATTTAAGCTTCTCTTATATATTTCCTTTTTCCTGTCAGCAAATTGGTTGGAATCTGAATAGCAAATGTTTGGCTTATGCAAACTTATGTTGTTCTGGGAGCTAAAACTTCCTGGAGCCAATGGAAAAACACTAACAGTGACATCAGTGTAAGGTCAATGCAGGAAAAACCACCTGTCTGAGAACTTTAGCTTTAGAAGTAATTTTGACTTTAATTAAATAGAAATTTGGACACCAGGCATGTTTCTCTCTACCTGACTTACCTACTGTTGATTTTCTGTGCTTAGGTAACCAGCTGAAGGGACTGGATTGTTGGCTGTGCACAGTCTTGTAGTAATGAGGTCAGAAATCTGCCACTGGAGTGGTTCCAACTTAGTGAAGATGAATAATAACACACTGTCACTCCTAAAAGTAATTGGTTTCAGGCCTGGTTCAAAATCCATTTGGGTGGATTCGTAAAGCAGAATGTAATTCCATTTTTCATCATTACACTCTTCATAATTCCAGAACATCTCTTTGTTGCTTTATACTTTTAAAATTTATTTTATCAGTAAAACTGCAATTCTGTGTGCATGGAGAGCCCTTTATTTTAAGGACTAAAAGCTGACTGAACTGGAATCCAGTTTTGTAAGATGCCTATTCCAGTCAAAGAGGACAGGAAAGGTGTTTCCCTCTGGATCCCACACTGGCAGATTCTAAAATCTACATTTGGCTAAAAATACAGTATTAGGATAAGAGAATTAACTGTTGAAGACCTTTATGATTAGTAATTTATAGAAGTGGTTTTCCTTGCCTTTTTGATAGATAATGCAATCTCCTATTCCAAGGCTCTAGCAGCTCCAAGGAAGCTTCTGGAATGGTGGTGCTCCAGGGAGCACCTTACAGTGTGGAATGGCACCAGTCACAACAGCCAAGTTCTCCTTGGTTTGCGGCTCCAGCCTTTCTCCCTCCTGGTATCAGCAGGGAGATTGACTTCCATGTGCACAAATGTTTAGGATTCCCTCCCTCCATCCCACTGATGTGGTTTCTAATCCAGTAGGACTTTTGTTGGCAGCGCCTGTCAACAGTTACAGACTTTTTTTTGTGTGACAGCTCATGGTTTGGTGATTTAGAAAAATGACTTCTGAACCACGATGCCCTTGGACAAAGTTAAGGATAGGAAGCTGGTCAGGTCACTGGGAGTAAGAGGAAGCCTGCAGGATCTGATGGAAAAGGGGCCTTCATTTAGGGGAGGATCCTCAGTTGTGGAGAAAATACATTCTTAATAACAGAACTCGGTGTGGGGAAAAAAAATCTAACCCCAAACCTTGCAAATTGTTGTTTGGAAGGATTTTAATGCTGCTGCCAGGATACCATTGTTTCTGCTTTGGAATTCCTCAGGAAAAGAAGATTAGCTTGGACATCTGCAAACAGCTGAACAATGCCAGGAACACTTCCCTGTTTCCTTGGGCAAACTCCTCTCTGCAGGGGTTCCTGGGCAGCAGCAGCTTTGGTGTTTGTCCCTTGGCTCTGCACCCAGATCCCTGGGGTGGATCCCTGCATCCTTCACAGAGGGTCACACCAGGAATAGGATTCTTCGTGTTTCCTCCTCGTGCTGTTGTGCCAAACAACTCCCTGACACTGCTGTGCCCTTCTCCACTGAGGAGCCTTGGAAGGTGTATTGGCCTATTTTTCATAATTTGTACATCCTATTGGCTACAATTTAAAGACTGGCAAATTGTTTGAGAGTTTGATCCTGATGATTCCCTTGCCCAAGCAGGCCTTACCCTGTCAGTGTGGGATACTTGTCCAGGATTCTGGGATTGAGTTCTCAGTCAGAGGGACTTTTCATATCTAGTTCTCCATGTGCTACAATGCACTATCTCATTTCTTTTTTAAAAGCAAAACAAATTCTCATATTATAAGGTGGTGGGTGATTAGCATTTTATTAACAGGGAAGCTTTGGAAGGAAATGGAATTTTTCCATAGCTTGGTTCTGTTAGTTTCTGTAGTTGCAAAACACGAATTCTGTGAAGTTTTTGTTTTTATTGTAAGAGATTATTTTATAGCTTTGTGGACATTTCAACATGCACTATTTGTAGCACTCAATACAGACTTAACCGAGACTGAATATTCCAGTAAATATTTGAACATCTTGATTATCTCAGTTAATACTTAAACCAACTGCAAAGCAGCTAATAGGGAAAAGTTGTTTTTTCACAGACACATGTTTAGATGAAGAGGATTTTGGTTGGCATTTTAATATAAAACTCAGTGCTGGGTGACATATTCCAGCAGTGTTTTCTAGCCAAATAATCTCTTGCTGTTTGTTTTGTTCCAGAATGTTTTGGGGGGGGGTGTTGATTTTTGTTTCTTTTTGACGAAGGGAATGTAACTTAGAAGTCTTCACTGGCAAGTTTTCTATTAATTTTAAGCTTCTTTGAAAATCTACAGCAAATGGATGTTCTGCTGCAGGAAATCTCTCTCCTGCTGAAGCATTTTTCATTGAGCAATCTTGGTGTATGTGCTTCAAAGTACCTACTTTGTTAATAATATGTATTTCAGTGTAAAGAGCATATTTTATGCAAAAATGAAACCTGTTAGAGTTGTAAAATAAATTTTAATGTTAGTGAATGTTTTTGAGATGACAAGGTTAATTCTGAAATAACTCTATCACGTGTAGTTCATGTTGTGAAGCTTTGCTTTTGTAAGATATGAATAAAATAACACTTTCTAATTAGGTCCCGTGTTAATTCTTAATTGCATGTGCTACCACAGGTGGAGCTGGTGATCTGCTCAGGTCTAAATGGGATCTAGATATGGTAAGGAGGATAAACTCACCTCTGGGATTGCTCAGGGGCTGCTGGACAGAGCAGAGCAGGTCACCAGCCAAGGAGCTCCTCAGAATCTCATCTGAAGGAGGCTGTGGGTCGAGGTCAGTCCCATGGTAAGCAGGAAACAGGACTAAGAGACTTCCAAGTGCTCTTCCCAGGCTAAATTCTTCTATGATTCCATGAAATTTAAAATTAAGGATGGTTTGCTCTTGGCTTGATCTCCAGTCTGTTTAGACTGTGTTTCTCTTCCATACCATGGAGAGAGGAGTCAGAGAAGGGATCTCTCAGCAGTACTGCAATTTAAACACCCAACATTCTCTATGTCATTATTTTAAAATATATTTATTGACTACATTGGTTGCCTCATGTTGGAATGAAGAAATTACGCTCGTAGCAGGGTCAGAATTTTGGGTTTTCAAAGTCTTTCCTTGCCTCAGGTCTTCCAAAAATCCTGCCTTCAGTTTGTTGAGTTCTTCTGCCAGGCTCTTCATCTCGCTTGGGAGAACGTTTTTGTCTAAAGAAAATGAAAGCTGAACTTTTAACTTCATCTTAAAGACAAAATCATAATACTATAGAGTCACAGAATATCCTGAGTTGGGAGGGACCCACAAGGATCACTGAAGTCCAACTCCTGGCCCTGCACAGACACCCCAGCAATCCCAATCTGTCCCTGAGGGTGTTGTCCAAACATTCCTTGAGTTCTGTCAGCCTTGGGGCTGTGCCCATTGCCCTGGGGAGCCTGGTCAGTGCCCAACCACCCCCTGGGGGAAGAACCTTTTCCTAATACCCAACCTAACCCTCCCCTGGCACAGCTCCAGCTGTTCCTTGGGTCCTGTCCCTGGTCAACAGAGAGAACCTTGAACACATGCACAGAGTTGCTAATCATATAAATCCAATGAACTAAAATCCTCTAAAATGCTGGTCTGGACTAAATGGGTTCATTAAAGCTGTATTTAATACAGTTAATAAATATTATACTGAGTTTTAAACCTACAGACTTTGACTCATGTTCCACAAATAACTGTGACCAGACCTGTGAATGCGATTCCCTCGGTCACACCTGCTGGGACAGGATTCCTGAACAATTCTCCCCAAGGGAACTCCACAGGTTTAGTCTCCCACTGCCAACCAGCAGCTGGGACAGGTAGGATGGGTGGGACAGGTAGAACATGTACCTCTGGCATCCTTCATGGCCTGAGAGATGACCCTCCTGCACGCCTGGTCAGCCTGGTGGACAGCACTGGCTGCACAGATGGCTCGATCTGTGTCCTGCCCAGAGCCAGCAGAAAGGGAGAAAACAAGCAAACACTTTAAATTTATCTAACTTTGGAAACAAGTAACACATTAGCAGCACCTGAGTCACCACCTGAAGGCAAGCAGTGCTACCTTTTGCTCTGTGTCCTCCTCGTTTGGCCTCGCTGGATTTTCCAGAGCAGTGGCCAGCAGGTTAATTATCTGCTCACTAAGAAAACAAACAACAGAGTAAAACACATCCATCAAACAGATTCACTGACATTTTTCTTCCATTTTGAAGTGGTACCACAGAAAATAAAAAGAGCAAGTTTTCAGTTTAATTTATGAGGCAATCAGTGAAATAATCTGAGATGAAAAACAGTTACAGCTCAATTATTTCCAGTCTTAATGTTTCAGGCAATTTACATGGATTTTCAATGTCAGGGCAGCAATGCAGTGAGTTTTGAGGTTAACTCTGCAAAGGATGGTGGCTGGGAGCTCCCAACAACCAGCCTGTGTCTCTGGCTTCCAAAAATCACCACTGGGAATATTTTTTACACACTGTTTAGATACAATAAGGAGCTTCTATCCAGTCATGAAAACAGCACTTAGGGAAAACTCTAGGATCAATCCAGTAGCATACTTGTCCTCTGAGATGCAATCAGAGCTTCTCAGAATGAGGCTGTGCTGCTCCCAAGCATTTTTCTTGAGATCTGGCATTTCTATTTTCCGTGCCATTAAATGTATTGTCTGCTCAGGTACAGGATCACTCCTGAGGCGATTCCTCTGCAGGCAGCATTCCAGGGGACAGTCTAAAAACAACTGGCAGAAGCCCAAGGAATCTAAAACGAACAGAACCAGACAATTTTATCTTTAAACAGTTCCAAGTTACAATTTCTGAGAGGAACACACAGGAGAAAGGCTCTGCATGACTGAGGGGATTCTACACAAGTTCTGAGCCTGATGTGAACACAAACCTAGACAGGAACACAAACAATTTTACCTTCAAGGGTGCTCAAGTAATAATGTCTGAGATAACCCACAGAAACACAGAATGGTTTGGGTTTGGAGGGACCTTAAAGACCATCTCATTCCATCCCCTGCCATGGGCAGGGGCACCTTCCACTATCCCAGGTTGCTCCAAGCCCCGTCCAACCTGGCTTTGGACACTTCCAGGGATCCAGGGGCAGCCACAGCTTCTCTGGGCAACCTGTGCCAGGGCCTCCCCACCCTCACAGCCAAGAACTCCTTCCCAATATCCCATCTAACCCTGCCATCTGGCAGTGGGAAGCCATTCCTCTTTGTCTTGTCACTCCATGCCTTGTCCAAAGTCTCTCTCCAGCATTCTTGGAGCCCTTTTAGGCACTGGAAGGTACTCTAAGGCTGCTCTAAGAAGGGTTTTAAGTGTCCTACCAATTTCTAATAACACAGTAATAAAGTTCAGTTGCTCCTTCTCGTACTGCAGGAACCCAGCAATTAAGAATAACCAAAGTCCCACAAGAGCACTTAAATCACCTGAAGTGCCCTGGATTTCCTACAAGCACCCTCTGGCCACGGAACAAGGACTGCTCACATTTTCTGGCCAGCTGGTACACCTCGTACCGCATGCTCTGGTAGTAGAAGTTGTCGTCCAGGAGGAGGCAGAGCGGCCGTCCCGGGGCCCCGCCGTCCCCCTGCACCGCCTCCAGCAGCCCTTCCCGGCGGCAGCAGCGCAGGAACCGCTCCCACCCCGGCTGTGCTGGGCCAGGTAGCGGTGCCCCGGTGAGCAGCGCCCGCAGGAGACCCTCCAGGCACTGCAGCAGCTCGCGGCGGCTCTGCTTCCAGCCGGGCACCTGCGGGGGGAGGGAGGGCAGGGATCACGGAGCCGGCACAGCTCCCGCCCGGCCGCGGCGGGATCCGCAGCGGCCCCGAACCAGCCCGGGCCCGGCTCTGACCCCAGAGCCATTCTTAGTCCCAGTCCAGACTCAGACCCGGTCCCAGGCCCAGACGAAGTCCCGGTCTCATTCCCGGTTCCAGTCTCAGTCCCAGCCCTAGTCCCGGTCCCATTCCCAATCCCAGACCGACACCCAGTCTCAGTCCCGGTCCCAGCCCGACGCGTCCCGTTGCCTGGCAACAGCGGTCGCACGGCAGTGACGCATCCACACTGACCAATGGGAGCGGCTCCCGCGGGCCCGCCCCTGGCGCGCGCGGGAGGAAGGCCTCGTCCGGGATGAGCTCGTCGTAGTGGAGGAGCGCGCAGGCCCAGCCCGGGCGCTGCCGCAGCTGGCGGCGCAGGGCGCGGGCCAGGCTGGACTTGCCGGCCGCGGGGAGCCCGCACAGCAGGCACAGCCCCACCCGGGCGCCGCCGCCGCTCCCGCTCCCCCGCTGCTGCTGCTGCTCCGTCGCCAGCGCTGCCGCCTCCGCTCCCGCCGGGGCTTTGTGCGCATGCGCCGGGCTGCCGCCACGGGGCGCCCCCTGGCGGGCGCGGCGCTACAAAGCCTGTCTCACAAAATCGCCCCCTTTCACACAATTCTGGTTTTACCCAGTTTTTCACCCCGTTCTCGCGTCACAATAAACTCAATAATTCGCTTTGGTGGCCCCCAGGAGCGTCAAATGTCTGAGCCCTCCCTGTGTACCCAGCGGTGGCTTCTAAGATCATAAAACAAAGATACCACGGAGTGTGCTGCCCCCGATGGTTGAGGTCTAAATTATAGGAATAATTCATGATAAAAATCTTAATTGTTTAAGTTATTTAATTATAATAACAATTTAAGATCCTGAGGGATTAAGGAAGAGGACACTTCTTTGGCAGACACTCCTTGCCAGTGCAGATTTTTGCCTGCAATACATTTTGGGTTCTTTTGTCCAGTTCTTCGGTGATGTGGCCATCTGTGGGTTGTTGGTGAGGCAATTCTATAATTTTTTCACTCTTTTTCCTAGTTCATACTCCCAAATTGGCACGAACACAGCCAGTCTGTTCATTACTCCTTGTTGGACAGGTGGATCTGTATCCACAGTTCTGTTCTTCCCAGAGAGTTGGTCTCTGCACAGCAGCTGCTTCTCCATTTTGATGGAGACTTTTTTCCTGAGATTTTCTGGATCCCTCTCCTGGATGGCAACATTGGATGGAGACCCATTTGGACAAGCTGTGTCACTCCATACATTCCATTTTAAATCAGTGGTGGTGTCTTAATTGTCTCATTTAGAATGACCAAAGTTAATCTATTGCTTTTGTAGTGGACAAAAGCAAAAATCCTGAGCTGCAGTAAGCAGTAGACACTGAACCACTGTTGAGTTGTACAGTGTATTTCCCAATATCCCACATTTTCTATAACAGCAGCTGGACGGTTTCTTTCAGACTCAGGCACAGTGTTTCTGGTGTCCCCATATATGAGGTTATTTTTATAAACTACCTGAAATGGAAAGGGACAGAGCTGGTGGTCATGAAAAAGGGGCTCTGGGCCCCAGCTTTGAAGGGCTGATGGCAGACAGGTCTCAGAGCAGTGCCCAGGGACTGTCCCCAGAGCTGAATAAATCATGTCTGTAAATAAATGATTTCACTTCTCCTTAGTCTGCACCTCAGACTTACACACTGCCACAAGTGTAATCCTATGAGTGCTGAACTTCAGGCTTCTGATTTAAAAAACCAAGAGGTGAGGTAGAGGAGGCACAAACACAGCCAGCAGCAAGTAGCAAAACACTGAGAGTCCCCAAATCTGCGTTCAGTGCCTCTTGGCATCCAGCCTTTCCCAGAGGTACGTGCTTCCCAAAGGCATTTTGGCCGCACAAGGAGAGGACTGGAGGATTGAAATCTTGTAATTTGGATTTTTTCAGGCCAGTTACTTGTCAGAATTGGTTGAGGGTTCCCAAGAAGCTTTTCAGACCGCTGGTCTGGGTGGGACTGGGGGTCGTTGAGGTCCTGAGGGAACTGCAGGAAACTGGGTTTGTACTGGGTGCCTGAAGCGTGGAAAACACGTTGTGTTTAGAATTTCTTGACTTGAGACAACTGGTATTTCTAAACTGGTTCTTCACCATTCTTTAAACAGTTTCTAGCATTTATACATACATTTATACCTAAGTCTCTCTGCCCCTTCCTGTATTATTTGCCTGCATTTATGCTGTTTTCTAAACAAGCAGTAAAACAGCATTTCTCTCTCAGGCATTCAATCTATTATAGCTCATGATGCTGCATGAAAAATTCTCCTAAACAGGACACGAGACATCAGGAACTTCATATGCAGTGATACAGCAATGTAAACACAGAGACTGTGAAGTGAAGAAGGTTTTAAGTGCTACAAACCTTGTACCAGGAAAATGCAATACGGTAAAAATATCAGGATTTGATGTGGCAGGCTGGAAAAGACATTACAGAAAATCAGGTTAACAGAAAACACAAAGTGTATGCAATTATTCAGTATTAAGATGATGGTATTTAAGAACTAGTTTTCATTTTTGGGGGACATTCTTCACATTCTCTTGCTGCTTAGCCTGGCTAAGCAGCATCTCCCAGTGTTTGGCTGCAGAATTCTTTGTTCAGTCTTTTGCTGCTCTGCTGAATCCCATCCCATCCCATCCCATCCCATCCCATCCCACCCCACTCACAGCCTGTGCTGACAGGGCAAGCAATAAAGTTCATACTTACCCACAAATAAATCCTCTTTAATACATTCTAACCTACATTAAATACTTGGAAATGCAGGTGGTTTCAATGTAACAAAAAGCCAGTCATAAATAATTACGTTAGAGAAAGAGTTTGTATTAACATCAAATAATGCAAGTATGCATCTCTCACCTGATTATTTCTTGTGTCATGACTTGGTTTGTTATCTTGCTTTGCTTCCTGCACATTGTTATCCCTGAAATAGAAACCATGTGATCAGAAAATTTCTTCAGGGATGCAGCATTTTCAGAGGACAAGGCTACAACTCAGAGGATCTGGATTCTGCTTGTGAGTCCAGCCCTGTTTGGACTTGACAGGCCACTTCAATGTGCTCTGTCCCCACGTGGAATACAATCAATACCAATTAGGCAAGTGCAATGTTTTTTGGGAAAAACACCTGAGAACTGACAACTGGAGTATCTGGATTAAACTACCAAATAGCAGGGGACTGAACTACCTGCTACTGCTATTAGCAGTAGCTTTTAGGGAGTGTGGAATTCTTTGTGTAGATAAAGCATCTACCTTGCTTGCTAAATTAACCTGGAGCCTGCTCTCATGTGTCCAAATAGCACCTGTAAGAAGGGAAATACCTGTGCTGTCTTCTACTCTTCCTGCAAAATTTTCTCCTTATTGCATCCCTCTTAATTATTGCTAATGCAGCAACGATGGCAACTGGCAGCACAAGGAAGAAGAAGATAAGCAGCCCATCCCGAAGTGATGTGTCTAGGGAAAAAAGAATTCAAATAATGAAATTTACAGTATTAAAGCACTTTTTTTTCTGTTGTAAACACTACAACCTTCAAATTATTTTCAGTTGAAACTTCACTGAAATTTATAAAATGCTACGATCAGAAAAGTAGGATTTGGCCTTACGTTATTACTAGTTTTTTCTGCCTTTACCCCCCCTGTGTTCCATGATATACAAACTTTTTCCTTTTCCATATATTTCTTCAAGAAACTTGATGATCCTTGTGGGTCCCTTCCAACTCAGAATATTCTGTGACTCTGATTTTGTATCTGCTCACCCACAATCGCTCTGCACATCCTCTTTGCCTTCCTAAACTTTTAATAAACACAAAACTTTTTTTTTCCCTTTCCCAAAACACAAATTTAGTAAAATCTAGTAAAATATGAATTATTTCTCTCTTCACAGAGCTACAGATTGCAAACTTTGTTTTTCAACAAAGAGGGAAAACATTTTGTGTGTAAAGTGTAAAGCGACTTCATTATCAGATAATAATGTTTGTTCTTCAAGTCCACGACTAAGTGTCTCATGCAGTAGAAAAAAAAACAACTGAAAAGAAACTGAAAAAGCCCCTGCTATTAGTAGTTTATTTTATGAGACCCTGGGGCAGAAGGAAGGCCAGTTTCAGTGTCCTACCTGTGTGGGCAGGACCACTGTCAACGCTGCCTCCGTAGCCGGACTGGTTACAGAACGGAGGGGCCCATCCTGCACTGCAGTGGCAGTTCCCGTTGTTGTTACACACCTACACCAGTACCACAGGGATTAATTAGTCAGGCAGTGGCAGTTCCCATTGTTGTAACACACCTACAGCCCTTACACGGGGATTAGTCAAACAGCAGCACCTCTCTGAGAGCGGCCTGGAGTAGGGACCTGGAATTCCACGTAAGGAGTTGCATGAGGAAACAAGGAATACTGCACAGTATTGCATAGAAACACATGAAGTGTTAACTGGGAATAAGCTCTCCCCCTCCATAACATCCCAAACCACTGAGTGATCCTGATACCTCAAGTGAATTCTCTGTGAAAATTAACATTTGTGTTGTTTTTTGCCTCCAATAAATTACAGTCCGAAGAACTCGGTTTTACGGCCTTTGGACTCCATTTTGATTTTTCACAGAGGCATATATAAATCAGGAATTACTAGACCATCTTCCTCAAAGGAATATTTTCCTTTAGCAACTCAAGAGCTCAGTGATAACAAAAAATTCCCTTGGGAAAATCTGAAGAATTGCCTTTCAATGTTAGTGCCAAGAGGTTTGCCCTGACAACAGGAATTACAGGTAAAAAAGTGGATTTAACTTTTAATACAGATCAGAAAAAAAGCAAAGCCAGCTGGCTGGTTGTTGCTTTTATGCAGGGAACTTGCACCAGTCTAGAAACATGAAGCACCATCTACTCACCCCATTATTATTACACTTCTGCTTTACATCACAGTTGTAGCCCAGAAACGCTGCATCAACACATTCAAAACCTACACAGGCCTGGAAGAAGTAATTAGAGTCTTGCAAACACAAAACTAAACAAAAATCCTATCCCTTTATAAATATACTACATAAATGCATATGTTTATAACAAGGCTACAGCTTTTACTTAAATGTCAAGAAAAAGGGGTGATAGAGCATTCAGAACTTCATAATTTTATAGCTGTGTTTTTATCACATTTTCTTAACCCTGTGGATGCAGTTTGATGGACTGATTTGAATAACTGATTTGAATAACCTATTTGAATCAGTTTGAATAACTGATAATGTAGTTGACTGATTTGTAGCATCCCAGTTTTTGCAGAGCTAATTAATTGTTTCTGTTGATTTCAAAAAGCAGGTTTTTCGTTGTATTATGACACACAAACAAGAGAGTTGTGTAATGCCTTTGGAAGTTAAGAACTTTCCACTTGGTGGGATATATTCCATCACCCTGCTGTGATGCCTCTTACCTTGTTTTCTCCACAGGCTGTCCCTTCATGAACTTGAGCAG